CAGGAACTGAAACCATGTAAACATTTTACATGGCATGAGAAAAATATATCAGGTGCAGAAACTATTTCCTGCAGAATTTGTTAATCCTCATCAGAAATTCATCATGCAAAATATGAACTATATAAAATTATTTCTCTAAACGACCTTCACCCGATGGGTTATCTTTTAACATTTACCAAGCTGTGTTTTAAGGATTAATTAAAGATAATAAGATATGATCAAAAGGTTAAGTTGGGGACATCAAGTATCCACCATATATAGGAATTGCAGGGTCTGTCTTCATATGACAGGAAGCATCCATTTCAGCAGGGCCTTGAATCAAGACATGATTTTTTTCATACGTCTTTTAAATAATTGCATAAGCAAAAAAATAAATACTCAGGGGCAGGAAGCATAGTCATTTCTGATTTTTTTAAAAAAATAAAAAGTATGAAAAGTATTATTCACAAATGTACCAAGGGAGTACCTATATATAAATTTACAGCTTAGTTAACATATCTATTATATTGCCAAAATCCTCTATCCTATAAACATCATGCCCTAACATAAAGGATCCAAAAAAATGAAACCACATATCCTTGATCTTGTAAATCTCATTCTCAATATCCTCAAATGCCCTATTGTTTCTTTCTTTATAGTCGTTCTTGACATGTACAGTTTTTAGTTGCTAATGCTGATATCGTCCCCTGTGATTCATCATGTTGGGCATTCAATTTCTATAAAACAACATCAACAAATGGAATATTCTAAAGTAGAAAGACCATCAATCAGATTGTTTCTTGCGACAGAGCACATGTTTCAATTTATCAGTTACTTGTTAAAGAATCTTCTCACTAGTACATCTTGACACCTAAAGATTATGTGGGTGGGACTCTACCCCACCAAGATCCTTTGTACACTAAGAAGCATCTAGGCCTTTCATTTAAGAAGTTGATCAGCAGCCCATTAGTTGTGCCAAAACTGGGCAAATGCGGCAGCAATTTGGAAGAGGAGGTCCCCAAAACTATTTGGGCAATATGTAATGAGAAAGCCCCTAATCCAGATGGATTTACAGGAGCTTTCTTCCAATCATGTTGGGACATAATAAAGGGTGATTCCATGATGGTATTTCAAGAGTTCTATTTATATGGAAAGATATGTGGAAATGAACTCAACCTTCATAACTATAATACCTAATAAGGACAAATCAAAAAGGGTATCAGACAATCACCCTATCAATTTGGTGACTACTGTCTATGAAATCATTACTAAGGTGTTATCATTATGACTTACTAAGGGTATCAGACAATCACCCTATCAATTTGGTGACTCCTGTCTATGAAATCATTACTAAGGTGTTATCATTACACCATAGGTGTTATCATCTACTCTTAAAATGTCAAACATCTCACAAACTCTGGAGCATGATACTCGGACTTCTGGAGTATCTTGGGTAATAGCAGATTCTATTTATTCCGAACTTCTGGCATGGGAAGGTCTGAGCAATAACAAAGCGCTTAGATTAATCCCTCTTACCATTTTCTAGGTTATTTGGAAGGAGAGAAACAACAGAACTTTTGAGGGGCTTAAACAAGATTTTAACAGCATCAAAGATAAATGGTTTCATTATTTTGACTCTACTGTTTTATGACATAATTTAGAATGTTTTGAAAATTTAGATTCTATTATAGATATGCTAATTGACATGTAAATTTTTTGTAAATGGGTGGTGCTCCCTTAGCACCTCACATTAATACATCTTCTCTTCTTTTATTTCAAAAAAAGTTTTAGATGACACTATATCCCCAAATCAGAGTACCTTAAATTGGGTTTTCTGGACCCAGTGATGGATCGTAAAGGTTTTGGATCTAGGTGTTGAATTTGGATAAGAGTTTATTACCTATCTTCTGTCTTTTCTGTGGTTTTAATGAATGGAAAGGCCCAGCAGTGGTTTCAGGTACTTCGAATATAAGCCAAGTTGATCCATCATCCCTATCCCTTTTTTACTTTGGTAGTGGATGATTTGAATGGGATGCAGACAAGGGAATCAGAGAAAGGAGCAATTGAAGGATTTGTGGTTGGAAAGGACAGAACTGAGGTGTCTCACCTCCAATTTGCAGATGGGACAATAATTCTATTCCTATTACATGATAATAAATCTATCTCTAACGCATTCATGTTGCTGAGGGTAGTTGAGCAAATGTCAAGTCTTCACATTAACATGACAAAATTTGGATTGGAAAGGGACTAATGCGGCTGATAGCACAGCGAGCAATCTAGCTTAGGCAATTGGATGTGTAACCCTCGAATGGTCTATACATATTTTGGCATTTCCTTGGGCGATACCCCCACGTGTTAGATGTTTTGGCAATGAGTGGTAAGTAAAATATAAGTGGTTGGAGAGCTGGAAAGGGGGTCTTTTTTCATTGGGATAGGTTATTCAAGCATGTTTGTTTAGTACCCCTTATTTATTACGTCTTTGTTTAAGGTTCCGACTGGTGTAATCAAACACTTTGAAGGTGTGATGAAAATATTTTGTGGGTAGAGAATGGTGAGGAGAGGAGAGATCACCAAGTAAAATGGGAGCTGTATTGCAGGTCTAGAACTTTTAGAGGTTTGGGTATTGGGAAACTTAAATTAAGGAACTTGTCATTATTGGTTAAGTGGATATGGTGTTTGCAGCAGGAACCTAACTCCATATGACATAAAGTAAACAAAAGTGTTCACGGGAATCAATAAAATAGTTGTGATGCAGTGGCCACCAATACAAAAGTCCATAGAAGGTCTTTTCCAGTTTGTTTAATCTTTACATGCCCCTAACCGGATATTAAGTGGGAGATGGTTTTGAGATTTCTTTTAGAGAGGATCTTTAGAGGCACAACTGACCCTTGGGTACCCAATTTCCAAATCTTTTGGTATATCATCCAGCTCAAAAACCCCAATTGGCCATTTCTTTTGCCTTTCTAACGGTTCTCTTAATTGGAATTCGGAAGATAGGGAAACAGATGCTTCCTCACCATGTTAACCCTATTGCAATCTTTTTCAATCCTCTCAAGAGCCTGATTTTAAGGTACGGACCTAGAATGATCAGGTACATATATTGTAAATCGTTTTTTGATCACATAACCAAAATCTTGATTGTTACTACAGCAGATGTACCAAGGCATTCTTGCAAATCAGGGTTCTTTGAAAGGTGAAGACATTTGTGTGGACATCAATTCTGAATCGGTTAAACACCAACAAGCTATTGCAAATTCGTAAGTCTAACCGAGCATGTCTCCTAACAAGTGTGTAATGTGCCATAAAGGAGGAGAGACACATAATCATCTCTTTATCCAATATGAGGTGGTGTGAAAGTCACGGATAAGGTTAATAACACATTTGACCAATCATTGATTACTCTTTCGGAATGATTATAGTTTGGGGTTAAAAGGAGAAAGCTAGACCACTATGGCAAGGATCGGTTTCTGCAGGTCCTTGGACAATTCGGTTAAAGAAATCAGCGAACATTTGACAATCACTCTTTGCCGGACACGCTTCCTTGGGAAAAGATGACTTTTGTGGCTTTCCTTTGGACCAAGACTGATGCGAACATAGGTTCAAAAAGCATTAGTAGATCACACAAAGAGAAGTGTGAAGAAGAGATTACAATGCCAGCTGGTCCAATCACAAGATTTTAAGTCAAGAAGTTAAAACAAACATTCCAAAGTTTTGTACAAAGATCGATACAACAAAAACTTAGTACACATGAACTGTTTGAAGAATCAAAGTGATGTGGTCCCAACCAGAACAGCACAAAAACAAGATAAATTCTCTTAGGGTGAGAAAGAATCCAATTTTTCATTGATAACAAAAGACATACATTCACTTGATACTTGCATGTTTAAATAGAAGACAATATAACTGTAAATACACAACTGCTCCTACTATTCAGGACATGAACAGTTGTTGTACCTGGGGTTGGGTAC